TGTGTGTGTGTGTGTGTGTGTGTGTGTGTGTGTGTGTGTGTGTGTGTATATATGAGAGAGTGGTTATCCCTGCAGAGAGAAATCCAGACTGCTGGGATGCACTTTGTGTTAGTATGCAGGGCGTGGGTTGTTGGAGATCTGCAAATCAGCCCTCCCCCCCTCCAGCAGCTCCACTCACCGACACCTTTCACGCTAGAAATTGGTCTTGCTGGGTTGCCATGGTGATCGGATGTGGGCTGGCTCTCTCTCTCTCTCTCTCTCTCTCTCTCTCTCTCTCTCTCTCTCTCACACTGGGGAAGCTGCAATGCAGTAGTGACGGAGTAAAGGATGCTGGGATGCCCCCCCACAATCCCGTAGTGACACGTCAAGGTCACTCGATCAATGTGTGTGTGAAAAAATGATGAAAAAAAAAAAATGATGAAAGGGGATCCTCCCTGGCAAGTGAGGTGTGTGTGTGTGTGGGGCCTGTCAGCTGACCTGCAAACGTGTCATCACAGAGCTGAAAGGGGGGGGGGGGTGAAATCAACCTCTCGACAGTCGACACACACACGTCTCAGTGGACAGCCTGTGTGTTGTGCTCTCAGCTGCTTTTGTATTCAACACGATGAAGATGTCTTTGTGGATTTGAACCTGTGGAGTCCTTCACATGCTCTACATACAGCGCCGGTCCTACTGATCAGAGGCGTTCTTAGCGTTAACGCCACAAAGCCTGATCCAGTCACAGATAACGGGACCACCAAGGTGTTTGTTCAACAGATCCGTTAACCCCGTGCGTTCCTATAAAAGGAGGCATTCGGTGCGGCAGTCGCTCATCATGGACCGATGTTCATCTCAAGAATATGAAAAAATGATTTCAACAAAAAGCAAGAGAGGAATGCTGGCAGAACATTACTAGTTGTGTGTGTGTGTGTGTGTGTGTATATCTATCTATCTATCTATTGGCTGTAATACCAGCAGTGTAAAGACATAATCCTGAAAGGTAACCTGATCGTTTGAGATAATTTTACCGCATTTCATATGGAAGTACACTTCAGCCCCAAACTCTGAACATAAACCGCTGCAGGTTAGGTGTGCGGCATAAGTTACCATGGCAACCCACTGGTCTGGCCTCGTGGTTCAGCCCTCAGGTGTGACCGCAGGGTGTGTTTGGCTGAGGAGGAGGAGGAGACACACACACACACTTCTTCTCCTTTTATATATTTGTCCTGATCTTTTGAAAGATGAAATGGGCGTAATGTTGTATTTATTGTATATATGTTTCTCTCCTCCACTTTATGTAGCACACTAAATGAAAGTACATTGGGGAACAGTAGTGAGGCTTTCATTTTGATTTTAAAGCTCATGCTGAGTAACATCATTATTAAACATCCACAGTAGCAGTGACTTTATGACCAGTGTTATGTGCATCTATCAGAGACGTACTGTCATGTGTCCACAGTGACTTTCCCTTCTCTTCGCCTCAGTTACCCAACAGGAAGTCTCCAAAACACTCCCAACAACATCAACAATACCCACATTAGCTATTTCCGTCCTCTGCCTGTTGCCTAAACCCGGCCTCCCGTATTTAGTTCATGTGTGCACTTCTGATGATCAACAGAGTCCCCGAGAAGAAGATTTCAGGGAATAAACGCGCTACGACTGTCTGGCAGCCTGGATGACTTTGTTAAAACACACGCGTACCGTGACCCATTAACTGTATTCCGTCCCTCCACCAGTGCGAGGATGTCGTCCAGGGAAGATCGTCCAGATGACGGAGGCGGAGGTGCGCGGCCTCTGCATCAAGTCCCGGGAGATCTTCCTCAGTCAGCCCATCCTCCTGGAGCTGGAGGCCCCGCTCAAAATCTGTGGTGAGTGAGCTCCTGTTCAATCTAGTTCTCCTCTGCTGCAGGGTTCACTGTCGCTCACACCCCCCCCCCCCCCTTCGTCCATCTCCGTGCCTCAAACGGGACTGTGAGGTACGACGCGAGTCGACCGTCCTGG